GATGTGCTAAAACATTAGCCACATTTAAATGCAGACTCAAAACTCTTGTTTTAACTGTGCATTTAGTGAATGAGCACTGTGCTTACTCCAAACTGATTGCACTATATTTTATGTATAACTACATAACTGTTTTATTAACTGTTTTAAATTCATTTTAAACCTCTTAAATCAATTTTTAAATAATTTTCAAAGTTTTAAATTCCTTGTTTTATTGTTGTGATTATTTAAAAAAAAAAAAAAAATTTTTTATGTAAAGCACTTTGAATTACCATTGTGTATGAAATGTGCTATAAAAATAAACTTGCCTTGCCTTGCAAATAACCGCTTGATGCACAACTAGGCATGGATTATCCATGGTCACTTGTCAGCATTGGCAATTTAAAGCTGTTATTGGTGTTTATAGTGCAATATTTGACCGAAAGGGGGAAAAAGCAGTTATTTTCGTCAGTTAAATGAAATCTGTTCATTATATAAAGTGATCTTCAGAGTGTAATTGTTTTCATATCCGCACTTTTTCATGTTGTGTAGTTTGTTGACCTGAGCAAAAAGATCCTTCAGCAGCTGTTGGTTTGTATTGCAGATGCTCCTGCTGCCGAACGAGATGAAATGAAGTCAGTGCAGGAGGGAGAATCTGTCACTTTAGATCCTGGTGTGATAAACAACCCAAATTATTTGATGACGTGGCTTTTTAATGACATTCGCATCGCTGAAATCAATGGAGATCCCAGTAAGACCTGCACAGATGTTCAGTGTGAAGATAGTAGTGAGAGATTCAGAGACAGACTGGAGGTGAATCAGACTGGATTTTTGACCGTCGCAAACATAAGAACCACAGACTCTGGAGTTTATAAAGTACAGATCACCAGCAGCAGCAGCAGCAGCTTCAGTATTAGAAGGATTAGGAGTTTCAGTGTTACAGTCACTGGTGAGTGTCATTCAGTTATTCAGTGCAAATTAAATAAAGTGCCTTTCACTGAGGACTGTTTCGACTAACATTGCACAATGCACAAAATGCATGATGAAAAAAAGTTTTCCTGTAAGCATTGATGTATCCTGTTGAGTGCTTTGATGTGGTTTTAGTTCCTGTTCTTCAAAAACCAACCTTTATCAGTTAAATCCGTATAGCACACAACTGATGAACAGAGCAGAAAGGTGTAATTATCAGTCAGAAATATCAATAAAAATTGAAATGACTGTCTCTCTTCATCGTTACAGGTTCGGATTTGTCTTCAGCTACTGTAGCAGGAATATGTGTTGCTGTAGTTATTCTGCTCCTGGCTGCAGCTGCCGCCAGGATTTATTATCTTAAAAAAAATAGAAAGGTGAGTATTACATACAGCTGATTAAGCAAGATTGTGTGCGCATGATGTGAAAATATGTGTTTTCATTCCAATTCGCCAAGTTTGTCATTATTGTTCAGACAGGCAGCGGGGCAGAGCAAAATCAAGTTCAGGTAATATAAACCTAAATTCCTCAAAAACACAATTCTAATCTTTAGATTTGTGTGTTTGTGTAACTAAATCATCAGTCTTCTTCACTTCTCTTACCTTCTGTGTTTTCTTACAGGCAAATCTTGCACAATACTCATCTGTTAGTCAGACTGAGGCTGCTGCTAATGGCACGTCCCATTAAAAGACTGAGACTGCCACTGAAACACCGCCGTGGCATTATTTATTATTTAAATACCAGCGAGTGCTTGAGGATTTTTCAGTGTGTCGAGGTATTTTAAAGCTGCTATAGTGATCCAAAACAAGAGCAGAGAATGAATTCTTTGTTTCTTGTCATTTGCACTGATGTACTTGACAGATCAGTTGTTTTGTCCCATCTGTTTACATCCTCTTTAACTGACTGTTTACATGAATACCTCGCCAAAACGGCCAAATATATTTGACTGCTCGCATATAATCGCACAAGCCATCGTACTGCAAGACACAAGTGCTCTTCACATACTATAGTTGGCATTGCTAGTTACATTATTTTACTATTGACATCTCGCTGTTACTACATATTATGTTAACTTGTGTAGTGTGAAACAATGTGATTTTAGAATGTTACCGTTAGTTGCTTAGCAATTACGTACCTCATATTCACGTGCTTTGGACAATCATGGAATCCCAGTGTGCTGTATAAACCGTTGTTTCAGTGTTTGGGTGGAAAAAATGTTACATTTTCCAATTTGAATTGAAGAAGTATTCAAATTCCACTCAGGAAAAACTTTGTAGTATAGCACAATATATATATGATGATGTGCAATGCTAGAGCCATTATGCACACAAGTCACATGGTGCTTTCGTCCAATCAATGACACTGACTCCGCAAATATGCAAATAAAAACGCTAACCTGGGGTTTAAGGATGTATAGCGTGAAACATCAGCTTATGAATACCCAGGATTCAAGTGCAGACAAAAAGCACAGTATAAGTTATCATAATAAGCAATGGTATTAGAGCAACTAGCAAACTTTTTGGGATGAGAGTGATACTCTCATCTCACACGCTCATGCACACACCATAACAGCCAAAAATGTGTCATTTGTGCTCAAAAATTGAACAACGTTAATAATAATGCACTTACCTTTGTGTTGTGCTTCAACTTAGAACAATCCATGGTTTGAGATTTGAGTCACTCGTCCGCTCTTTAACTTATACAGTGGGGAAAAAAAAGTATTTAGTCAGCCACCAATTGTGCAAGTTCTCCCACTTAAAAAGATGAGAGAGGCCTGTAATTTTCATGGGTCACTGAGTCATTTTTTTCAGGCGATTATTTCAAAACGACTGATTCATTCAGGAAAGAAGTAATAAAATGTTTTTATGAATGGATCAGTGAATCAACCCGATTTGTTCAAAAACGCAAATTCATTCTGTAAGAAAACACCTCTGTGTGTTGCTGCAGAGACACTCAACATGGTTTTGTGTGGAACCATTTTCTTTAGAGAAATAGAGCAAAAAAAGACAATATTGTCTCTATAATTTAAATCACTTACTATTTATTTCTTGTTCATTGAATTGTTGCCCTGACGCGAAGAAAGTCTGCAACAGACCATGGTGGCCAAACAGTTCATATGATCGCTCTAAATGCGCGTGTCGTAGGAAGACACGACAGCATTATATGATTTAATATCTATATTTGTTGTTTCACATTGACAATGCTCAGTAACAAATAACCTAATTTCAAAAATTACAAAATCTGTATTAGTTATACACTAGTTACAGACACCTGAAGCAGCTGCTGTAACTTTTTATCGCTGGTTGGCCAGTTACATGTCAGTACGAGCCTCGGTGGTCGGTTTTTGTCGGGAGTGATTGAGTGAATGACAATGTAGGTAGACACTGTTGGATGTGCAAATCTGCAGTACTAATATTACCGTAATTATTTTAATGCGCATGAAAACTCAGTGATGATTCGTACAGGGCATAGTAAAAACATTCGGGGCTTCAGCTCCCTTAGCCCACCCCTAGCGCCGCCCCTGGTGACATTCAAATGTGTTTTTTCTCTTTACCTGTAAATTAATTCAGCCATATATATAAGAGATGTAGTGATGTAGCCCCTCCGGATCTGTGCCGCTCCAAGAGGTATTCAAACTGGCGTCTCCAGCATGGGAGTCAGGCACACTAACAAGGACACTAAAGACCACAGCCTCTAACGCTCCTTTTGAGGCCAGGGAGTAAGGTTTACCTGCACAACTCTTTACAAGCTGGCCTCCATTACAGAACCCCTATAAAGCTCACTCCCATCCGGGTCACGGCACCAATGTAACCCCTTCGGTTCTACTTGCACTGCTCTGAGCGTGATTTGAACCGGCATTTCCAGCATGGGAGGCGGGCATGCTAACAAGAACGCTAAAGATTGCAGTCTCTAGCATCAGTCGTAAAAGAGGTAGTGTGCCTCTTGAGTTTTGTTCTGGTGAAGGTGACAGTTTCTCATCAAGTAATCTCTGATCACGTCTTATCATTTGTGTAAATGTATGTTATTTCATACTCAGTGATTTTTTTTTCACCAAGAAACTAAACTGCAGAGGATTTGAAGTATGCAAATTGTTTTATAAGCACAAGGAATTACTTTCATATCCACAGTTCTTGAGGTTTTGTAGTTTCTTATTTTCCCCAAAAGACCTTCAGTCATTTGATGGTTTGTGTTTCAGATGTTCCTGCTGCAAGACGAGATGAAATGAGAAGAAAAAAGCAGGGAGAACCTGTCACTTTAGATCCTGGGGTAATAAAATACCCAAATGATTTGATGACATGGCATTTTAATGATATTCTCATCGCTGAAATCACTGGAGATCAGAGTAAGATCTGTACAGATGATCAGTGTGATGAGAGATTCAGAGAGAGACTGAAGCTGGATCAAACTGGATCTCTGACCATCACAAACATGAGGACATCAGACTCTGGACTCTATAAACTAACAATCACCAACATCAGATTCAGCATCATAAAGAGCTTCATTGTTTCTGTCACTGGTGAGTATCATTTAGTCACTCAGTGCATTTTTCTATAAACAGTTTTTAATGAAAATTAGATTTTTTAAAATATTTTATTTACACTCTAAGTAAAAAATAAATTCTCTGTCTGTCTTCAGCTGCTGTAGCAGGAATATATGCTGCTGTTGCTGCTGCTGTTGTTGTTCTGCTGCTTGTTGCTTCAGCTGCTGCTGTGATTTACTATCGCAAGCGCCAAAGAAGAAGGACAGGTGTGTATTACATACAGCTGCAGTAACAAGATGGAAATATCTTGTTGTATGAAAATAATCTTTAAATTCACCACTGTGTTTAATTGAGTTTGTCATTATTTTTCAAACAGATATGGATATGCAGTCCAGTGATCAGGTAAGATACTGTGTGCGATACGTTTGGCCTTCTTCCCTGACATCTTAATCTTTCTGAAAATTAGTTAAAAAATTACAAAAAAACTGCGTTGAAGTGTTGTCATGGAGGTGGTCCGATGCAACATATTGATGTCACAATTTGCAGTTGTGGAAAACAAGTTGTTTGAGCTGCTTGGTTTCAACAAAGGTATGTTTTATAGTAGATGTCAAGAGATCAAAGAAAATTTGTTTCTTTATGTCATTACCGTTTTAAGAGAAGCATCCCACATTTAAGACATGTTAACCCTTAATCTTAAATATCAGGATAAAAAACAGAATATGAAATCTTTAGTCTTGTTCTGTTTGTGTAACTGAATCATCAATCCTGTTGATTTATTCTGCCTTCTGTGATTTTGTGTTTTAGAATCGTGCAGAAGATTTGTCCTCTAATCAGTCTGATACTCATGCTGTCAGTGAGATGTTACAGTAACATTATTATTTTGATAATTTCATTTAAGGAGAACATGAAGAGAAGATTGGAAATGAGAGAAGAGCATAAGCTGAAACTCACAACACCCAGAGAGAAACAGTGTCACAATACCATGATTTCAGTATTAGGTACCAGTACTGAAATTTCAGATTTTGGCTTGTGACGCCGGAGTGTGCGCCAGTAACAACTGATAATAACCTTTTTTTCAGGCTCCTGGTTAGGGTTATATCACCACCTGTTGGTTTGGCATGACAGCACTTTATAGCATGTTTTTGCATTTTCATGTGGACAAGATTGTTTTTTAAACAGAGGAAAAACTGTTTATATAAATACCCGTGTACATGTGGACTAGACCTTACAGTCTTTAAAGTTTTATTATTGTCATTTGACAACACTAGTGAGGAACATGCCTGATGAAAACACCATAAAATTCATGTTACTCAAAGCTGGTGTTTTCAGCAGGAATCAGTTTATTTGTGTTAAAGTCTATGAAGAACTTTGTTTGTTTTTGGTGTTGTAGATTTATGGTTAAGGTTAAAATCCTGTGAGGGTTGATCCATGTAATTTCACCATTGTGTCCTTGATCAAACTCTGAATCTCAGGAACTGAACCTGTAATAGCTGAACTATCATGAACATAAAGCGATAGTAGTGCAACAGCATCTTGAGAGTGAATATTTCAACTTTAAACAAGTTGGTTTAGTTAGAATTAGTTATGGCAACAGAAAGGAAGATCTGGTAATTTCTCGTATGAGAATTGGTCATTCTGCCCTCAACAAATCACTTCAAATGATAGGGAAACATGGTTCTGGTCAGTGCAATAAATGTGGACTTCCAGAAACTGTAGAGCATGTAATAATCAATTGTATGGCATATGAAAGGGAAATAATTCAATTTAAAAAAGATTTAATTTCTGTTGGCATAAATTCTATAATTTTGCAGAATATAGGCTACTTAACAGTTCTTACAAAGGATATGAAGCTCTTTTTTTTTTTTTTTTTTGAAAGCAACAAAGTTATATAAGAAAATATAGAAAGGTAGGGTAGGTGTTTTTTTTTCTTTCTTTTTTTTCTGATATCAATGCCTCACACTCCATCCCAGTAGGTGGCGGAATATGCACCAAAGCTGGTTTGCCAACCGCCATTAAACCTCAAAGAAGAAGAAGTCAGCTTGTGTTCAGGAGAGGAAGCAATGGTTTCCTCACGCTCGCATTTCAGAAGCTGACGGTCCTAAGATTGAGGATTTGTTTCCCTGTGTCAATCTGTAAGTGTTCACTGTTCATTTTGTAATGTGTTATGTTTGTTGGAATGTAATTAGTTTTTAACGGTGTATATAGATTGTTTGGAGGTGCATGCTAATAGTAGAACGGTATTTGTTTTTTGATAGATGGAGCTTTTATGACTAATAGACTTGTATAGTCACGAAACGGAGTCATGTGGAACTGTTTCCAGCACGGCATTTGGAATTGTGAACGTCTTGTGTATTAAGCACATGCTTTTACGCAGTGGACTCTCACGTGTGCTTCGTGGAAGCTTTGTGGATATCACAGATTTGGATTATCATTATTTTTTTCCTTTGACTGCTATCGACTCACCGGGAACTTTGTCACATAAACGGACATTATCAGCGATCATCAGTATCTTCGTCTACGTTCAGCTAAGTTTGTTCTACTTACAAACATATTTCATGTTGTTCCAACTCAGCATGCCTGGCCTAAAGACATACAACCCATAAGGTTCATTGGCATTCATTCCTTGGTTGTTGTTTTTTTTTCCTTTTGCCTTGCCTATTTTCAAATTGTCT